TGGTTGGTTGAATTGGTTGGCTGGTTGGTTGGTTGAACTGGTTGGCTGGTTGGTTAGTTGAACTGGTTGGTTGGTTGGTTGGTTGATTGAACTGGCTGGTTGGTTGGTTGATTGATTTGGTTGGCTGGTTGAATTAAATCCGAGGCGGTACCCGTGAATAAGAGATGACACGAGGCCGAGAGTGTCGACAACGGCGTAGAAAAGGTAGAGATAGAGTGGAAACAATCTAGGAGATTGGGGAAATTACATCCTCCATCCGAGTTATCCCGAAAATTTTCATTATGGAAAATTTCTATCTTTAGGTATTGAAAATTCAACATTGGTTGGTTGGCTGGTTGGTTGGTTGGTTAAGCTGGCTGGTTGGTTGATTGGTTGATTTGGTTGGTTGGTTGATTGGTTGGTTGGTTGGTTGGTTGAACTGGCTGGTTGGTTGATTGGTTGATTGGTTGATTTGGTTGGTTGGTTGATTGGTTGGTTGGTTGGTTGAACTGGCTGGTTGGTTGATTGGTTGATTTGGTTGATTGGTTGGTTGGTTGGTTGATATGGTTAAATCGACTGAAATCGACTAAATCCACTGAAATCCACTCAAATGGATTTAAATCGACTAAATCGACTAAAATTCTCATTAATCTCCGCTTGGTGAAAGCAATAAAACGGCAAAAGATTCCTCAAAACGTCGCTATTATATCGAACAAACATCTCCCCTTCGTTATACTAACGAATTAGTGAAATCCATCTCTTCCAAGTTGACTTTGCCAGAAAATATGGATGCCTTACGAGAAAAAACTAAATTTAACCAATTTCTACTATCCGTTGTTGTTGAGAACAGAACACTGAATATCAATGAATTTATCTAGCAGATGAGTGTATAGTCCCTCGAGATGGAGATACCGCAGCAGATTTATATGAGGATGTGATTAATGAGTAACTATCAAAACATCAGTTATCATTCTCATAAAACATTCGCAAATGCATTTGAAAATGGGAATTGCATTAACGTCTCGGTTGCTTTAGCAGGCGGGGCAGCACTAGTGTGTATTAAAATGTTGAGACATGAATGAAGTTTGCCCGAGTCTGCTGAATTGTTATTGGTCGAGCGCCACATGTTCATATTGGAGGTGAGAAATTTGAATACGAGGCGCGCGGTGTGCAATTTTGTGTAAAATAAACAAACAAACCTGGGTGGTGTCGAGGCCGTTCTGATTCTGACGCCTTCGGCCCCTGGGCGGTCTGGGTGTCACGGCACCTGATAAATGTGCGCCCTGAGGGCTCCCGCCCCTGGCGTCAATCGCTGTGTTCGCGGCCAGGGTTGTCTCGTCCAAATTTTCCGTGTGTCTACCTAGATCAGCAGCTTCCACTCGCTCACCACCACGTGGTACTGTGCCTGTAGATACACTCTCGCTTGATACCTCACCTGAAAATTCATTAATTTCCAATTAATTTTTTTAAGGGTGAAGATCTGGCCATTTGACCCGCCAGTCGTTCAGTCACTTGACCTTTTCCCGAGTTACCTTCACTTTAGCCTTCAGATTCGAAAAATATTGATTCGTTGACTCACACTAACCGCGGGGTACGGTAAAAATGCGTTTTCGGGCGGGTGTGGTGTAAAGGTTAAATTCCTCGACTCAAGCCATAAGAGAAATTAATGAAAAAATCCATATGAGAAATTCGAATTATCCTTTGCCCGCGTTGTTTCGCATTCAAGTCTAACGACTAATCGCTCAATAATTTGGGTTATCAATAGACCGTAGTGGGATATCTCTCGGGAATTACGGGATAATTAATTTTGCGCGAAGAAAAACAAACGATTCAACCCAAGAAAATCCATTTTTATTAATAAATTAGGGCTTTTACAATTCTTAATAAATTACCCGGCTGTCCGTGCGGCTTTTAGGTCACTATCAGACCGAAATGATAGCTTTTTTCCTCATAAGAAAACGAGATAAGAGTTATATCGGCCGGATATCCATAAAAGATTACCATTTTTCATTTTCGTTTCCCGATAAATTCACGGAAAATCGATTATATCCGATTTACGTTCACGAGATATCGGCCGATTGCAATTTGCTTATTGTTTTAATGCTCTTGGTACTTTTGCATGGCACAAAGGATGACCGATTGCATTGAAATGACGTCACTCGTTCATGACGAAAGATACCAAAAAAATTTTAAGTCATCAGAGATACGGAACGACCGTCGGGGCCGATCGATAAGTTATCGCTGCCACGTGTAAATGCCAAATAAAATTAAAAGAAATGATGATCTCGAATCAAACAGAAATCAAATAGATATCTTTATTAATTTGTTTATTTCTTTTTTTACTTGGAGAAAATGAACTTCCAGAATAAAATATCAATAATAACAAATGGGTTTAAAGTAAATTACTTTGAAATTGAGATAACATTTTATTCAAATAAATTCAAAGAATGTAGGAAGTTAGTCTTGAGATATTCTTTATAATACACCCAATAACCCTGAGCCTCATAAATTACGCCTAATTAATCGAAGGCGATCGCTGGGGCGTTGGTTCGCCGATCGGCGCCAATGATAATTGGCCCGAGTGACATACACCGTGAGATCGTAAACCCAATTTTATGAATGTCGTATGTCGGAAAATACGAGTGTGACCGTTAGAAATCAAGCAGCTCTTGAAAAAAGAAAAAAATTCCACCTAGATTAAAAATTTAGCCTAACATATTCCCGGTTATATTCCGTGACTCATGAAAGTTTAACGATTTGGTGTCTAATGACCTCATCGCCGTGGCTCTTTGGACACACCTTTCCATCTACTCGAATCCATTTATTCATCTAAAAAAATCGATTTAAGCCTGGAATGCACTCCGATTGCCAAGACTTTAATTAATGCGCAAGTAAATTTCATTTTTCGTGGTCAGACCTCCCGTCGATAATTATTGGTAAATCAAGCCAGAAAATCGGTTAATATAAATATTCTTCGTTACTGAGATTAATAATAATAATTCTCTCTTTCTCAGAAAATTATTGGTTTTCCTCATTTTAAATAAACTGTATCGACTTCGGTTCATAAATTTTGAAGACCAAGTTTTAACTTTCGTAAATCTTTCGGAACAATTAACTTTCCTTTTGATTTTGATTTCGAATAGAAAAAATATAATTGTGAATAATAAAGAGTGAAAACAGGATATTCAGTGGTAAATAAAAAGACTCTGAACTTAGTCCTCAATTCATCAAAGACTATATAGCTCTGACTGACGTACTTTAATGTCCCAGGATTTTTCCGCAAAGACGAAAAGACATCAAAAGACATTTACCAGTATCGCTATAAAGACCGTAAATAATCTCGAAAAGCAACTTGGCGACCATCAAGTGCCTGAGGAAAGCCACAAACAGAAACGAAATAATGTCTCATAAATCCCGACAAGTCGTAATGCCTCATTGGTATCTCGTCACCGCGGCAGAACTTATTTTTTCCATCAAATCGTCACGAGAATAGCCGATAGATGAGTTAAAAGTCATATTCCCCCAAATAGATTTACTCGTAAATTCATTCCGCCGTTCGTAGTCATTAAAAATCATCATAATAGGGTCATAAATGTCGCCGAAATTGACGAGTCAATTAACCACTCATTCCTCGTTTTGCGCGCGAACATTTGAGATAAGGAAATTGTCTCCTCGTCTTATCTCCACGATTTCCCTGAAAAAAAAAATCCTCAAACGTTCATTTTTTTCCATTTTCAATCGATTGAATCGATTCAATCGAGAGTCCCTCGGCGGAGATAAGCAACGCATCCCGAGCGATAACGATCGATCTATCGATCGGGAGCCACTGGTGCGCGACTATTTGCCTGTTACACTTTTCAAAGCGACAAAATCTAAGACAAGAGTTTTACAGCTGCACGTGGCACATACACACGATAATAACAACGTCTCCTCCTCGATCTAATCTCGATTGCAATGATCTCGATCATCTCGCGGATGCGATCCATTCCGGTTCGGCTAATACGGGGGTAACTGGTCCACTGGACTGCTCCAGTTTTATGCATTTCCACCATTTTTATTTTCACTGTTTTTATGAGGGGGACATTCCGAGAATTCTTGGGTAATTACCGGAATTTTTACACCATTGGCAGCTAATGACGAACATGTGTAAAACATTTTAGAGCACTTCATTATTCCTATCGTATAACGTATAAAATTTATGAGGTTGAGATGGTGATAAATATGAACGGCCGGCGAAAAATTTTCCGCAATTTCACCATTTTTTCACCATTTTTGGCATGTTATTGTCTTACAAAAATTTCGAAAAATTTCACAATTTCAAATTCGCCGTATTTTAGTGGGGAATTATTTCTGCAATTTTTTTATGATTTACTGAGGCTAAATACTTAATAAATATATAAGGCTAAATTTTTTTATTCTTTATGGTATACACACCATCGCAATCAGAGGAATTTCGAAACCCATAAATCAAATTTTCCAATAAATTCCCGATTGATTATTCCTAAAATCATAAAATCGCATAATTGACGAATAGATACTGAAAAATTGACGGTTGAAATAGCGACGCAGTAAAAGAATTGAACGCCTCGAGTAAATCTGAATTATTCTAATGACTTCTCAACCATTAACCCCCGATTTTTTTGGTGCCGAAAATAGCGAGCTTGTTGAAACGAGATGCCAGTGAACTGAACATTTCCAATCTATCGAAAATTCCTACCGAATTTTACGACTTCTCCAGTGTACAGACACTTTATTCACATTTCATTGGGCGCAATTGGCGATAAACATCTCCGCGTCGCGGCAACGCACCTCGGAGATTCTCCGCGATAGGAGGAGTCAATGAAATTAACTCACTCGGATAACTTCCACTCATTTAAACATTTCTCCATTTCCATTTTTTTCCCATGTCATGCAGCCTCTCCTCCCCCTTCGCCCCCGGATCAATGCATTTTATCGATCCTCAGGATCGATGTATCACCCACGGGTGGCTAGATAGATGGGGATATCTGCCACCTGCCTTATCCACTTTATAATCCTCTGCGTAACGAAGCGCTGATTGTGGGCAGATGCCGCTGTGGAGAATAAAATGAGAAGAGCCCCATCGGGAGAGATAAATAAAAATTGCCAGTGGCAAGGGGAGAAGATGGATCGTACGAAGGGCCGGGGAGAGTGCGAAAGGGTCAACAGTGCAGATTTTTTTTTTTAGATGCTATCGCGGCAGAGACTCCGCTCCAGCGAATTCGGTCGACTCGACTTTTTTCCAAATCGTTTCAACCTGCACCCAATTTATTCCAATTCAACGAATAAGTTTATTTAAATACAACAAATGTGAGTTATTTTATTCGCATCGATAGATTTTTTTCGTGAGATAAAAAATGCATATAAAAATAAGATGATATTAATTTAAAAAATAAAACATCTTTTTGACTTTTAATAATCGTTTTTCCTTGAGATTTCATTTAATACGACTTTTGAGAATTAAAACAAAATTCCAACAGAATAATTTGGACATTTTTTTTACTTTTTTTTAGACTCATGTGATCAGTCACTCATTTCATTCACTTAATTGAGGGATTTATTTAATTGTTATCCGAAGATGGGATGCATCGTTGCGCGTGTAACGCGCATTCGCGCGGGTATTCAAGTGCCGGATATATTTCATGATAAAAATAATATTTTTTCATTGTCAATGGTACGTTCAAACGGCAAACGAGACACGTGTCATGCACCCATGCCAATATTTCTCGTTTACCATTGAAGCCGAGGGGGAAAAATATATTTAAATAAAGGAAACAATGAGCGATGGGAGGACTAACTCACGTACGACAAATATCATAATGTTTTTCATTTAGTGAAATGTTTCGGAGTCGGTTGGAAAAGTGACGGCGTCGTCAAGACGCTCGTAAAGCATCAGAAGATAAGACCTCTTTTCAGGAACACAACGGAGACATGAAGAAGTGTGAGGATGACGAGGGAAGGGACGTTGAGGAGTTTACTGCACTCCGGGGGCAGAGATTCCCGCACGAAAAGAGTGTAAGACTGAAAAAATCTCTTCTCAATTCTCTCATGAAGTAAATATTAAAAATCGGCAGTCGAATATCAGAAGGACGTAAGTGCCCAAAAATTCAGCCAAATTACGGACAAAGAAAAATGAAAAAGACACAACAGATAAGTGCAAAATGTCAATCATATTATTTCTTTAATGGTTCTTTATATTTGGCGGATCGTTAGTGAAGTAGAATGATTTGATTCGTAAAAAACAACAGTAATTTAACATAACAGATGCACTGTAAAAATTATAAAAATCAAATTGAAGGGATAATTGTAAAAGACTAAAAAATAATGAACGGAGGTGTTTGGATCTTGTGTGAAAGAAAAAACAGAACTCCACTATTTCCGAGAGAATCTGCTAACGATCCGAGAAGTTCTTTGGTT